GTAGAAGAATAATAAAGGCTACTTTTGTCACAAAAATAAATCTCAAAGGAAGTGAAATTGGGGATGAAAGTAGTACAGTTGTCACGCATGTCTTGCGTAAGAATGGCAGAAATTAACTCTGGGTTCACATCATTTATTGTAAAAGGTGGTATAACAGTAGGGAAAACGTGAACGAAAAGAAAGAATAAAGAAACAGGTTGTAACAAAAGCAATGGTATAAAAACAGTTATAACAATATAAAAACACTCACTACAGTTTTAATATTTCACTGTTTTATAAGCTGTTTAGGTTTACATGATTGAAGGTCTTTTCTCTTCGAGAATTTTAATGGGAGTGGCGACGGAATGAAGCAAAGTAAGAATGACGAAGAAAAGGAATTACAGATTCAAAATTTCAAAAGTAAGTCGCCAGGAACCAGAGAAAAGAGTGATAAAAAGGTGGGATGACGACGAAAGAGATCGTATCATCACACAGTAGGCTGGTCTTCCATAAAGGCGGATGTTTCAGGAACATAATGGGCCTAATATATAGAATAAAAGACCAAAGCTGTGTGATACCAGCTTTACTGTATGAAAGGTTAAAGACGAATGAATCGGTGGCACACGTCACAAATTACGTATAAAAAGTGCCTGTTAAGAAACTAAAAGCAAACATTTACAGTTATGTTATAATATATTTTAACCTACTTAAAACTATAGGCGCTGTTGCCTTTCTTTAGCTCCACTGAGGGCCGATTCTGGAGACCAGGTACATGGAGTGTGGATCACATGAGTGATGTTGATCGGGCCACAACAGCGGATATATGGACTTAAATTATACCTCAGTTTTGCGGGCGCGCTCAATGTGAACGCACTTTCATGATGCAATAAAATTTTAATTGAGAACTCAATGAAATAGTCACGATCCATAAACTAATGTGGGTCATGGTTATTCAGTTTACTGTTAAATTATATATTACACTGTGTTCAGCAAAATTAAGTCATTAACATCTGGGATCAGCAAAACGAGATCTACAATCCCCTCTAATCGGTTTTTTTATAACTTATTTAGTTTCAGTTATATTGTTAGGCAACATCGAGTACATAACCAGAAATAGAAGTGAATTTGTTTGAAAACTATTCTGCCAAATCATTCCGGTGACAACTGCGCACCGATTGGCCAGCTCAGATTCGAAACGAAACAATTGACGGGTGTCGTCAATTGTTTCACTTCAAATCGACCAGTTTAACTTGGTTTGGTACAATGGACGAAAATTGAAAAATTACATAATTTAACATTTAATTACCGATGAAATGTGATTCCGTTTGTTTTGTAATTATAGATGTTTTGCTGTTTTTTCCACACCACCGAATGGAACAGCACCCAACAGTTAGAGATATTATCTTTATTACAATAAGTACAGAATATTTTGAGAGATACAGAGACGTACAGACAGGTTAGTTGTTTCTTCATGTTGTTATTTCACCTTTCTGATTTGAGATTTCAGCGCAAATGAGAGTTAATATTTAAAAATGATATCAATACCATTTACCTGATGAGTTGTCAGGGATGGATGGCCCTTATTTCGTCTCTGTTTCTGGTTATATACTCGATGGTAGGCAACATCAGCGTAATTAACAATTTTTACTAGCAAAACAAAATTTGGTGCTATTATTTAGAAACTTATCGAAATGCAATATGACAAGTAAAAACTGGCAATTTCCGAAAAATAATTCATATTCATAGCCCCGCAATAGGGAAACCCTGTGTCGTGGGTGCCATGGACACATACTCCCAAACTCACATATACTCCTAAATACACCCACACTCACGAGAGAAATAAATGTAGGCCACATTTCTCCCGGCCCTCTGCGTGGCAGACCAGCATGTAAACCGTTCGGCAACAGAGGCAGACAAAAATAAAATATCTAGGAAATGTAATGAATTATTTATATTAAAACAGTTTCATATACAAATCTATCATATTATTTAAATAAGCATTACAATATGAAATTTTAAAAAATGGGGGGTTTTTTTTTTATTTGAATTCGTCCAGGGAATTAAAATTAAAGGCAATTAAAATCAGTTCCGGCCGCTTGGGGGGCCGGTTTTCCGGTTGGGGGCCGGTGGGGGGGGGCCGGTTGGGGGCCTGTTGGGGTGCCTGTTGGGGGGCCGGTTGGGGGCCTGTTGGGGGCCAGTTGGGGGGTTGGTTCGCGTGTCGCATACTACCCGGCTTGTTCGTCCTATGACTTGGTATCATAAAAATTCAATAACTCGCTCACATTCGTATAAAGATGTATATAAATACAATCACGGCCACACCTAAGCTTTTCTGTTACATGACACAACCAGACTGAACACAGTGTACTGTATTGAAAATTCACCAACAGTTCCTATAAGGGCTTTTTTAAAAGCCCCACAATTTAGGTCAAGCATATAAGCCAAGTGGGTATGAATTTGTTTGTGTGATTGTGGGTTCTTTAGGGGGAAATTTAGTACCCTAAATGGTAGTTCTAATTTACTCGACATGTAGCTCGGCCGTGAGAGTGATATATAAAAGTTAGACATATTCAATGTTGATATAAGTCGTCTGATTGTTTGAGTAAGGGAAAGATAAATGTTAGATATTGGGGTTAGTATTATTTTAGAGATATGAACAGCTAATATAGATACTAGACGGAATGTCCGTTCTCTACGAACGAGCACAGTCTGTTATTTTCTTTTTCACAGTTCTACTCATTTGCTCACGCAAAATTTTACAATTGAATAGTTTTCTCAAAGATATTACACCTCAATTAAATACCCATTTACACAGATGGAATGTCTCGGTTCGAAGACACGATTATCGAGAGAATATAAAAACGTTTCTTCTGTAAGCATTCGTGATTATCACGTAGGAGTCAATTGCCTCCCCCTTGAATAGTCAAGGTCAAGAACGTCTCCGTGTAAACAAAACAATAATGCTCTGGCCACACTGCGACTGCCGCTGAAGCGTACAACTGAATTTCTTAAATTCGTATAATGACCTACACAAAGTTGAACGGGAATGGCATGACAGGATAATGAGTTTTACTTTTTCAATGTTAAATATTGTCTCTGGCTGGCTAGCTGACATCTAACAAGAGCGAGATGGAACCACATACTAAATCATATGAAAAAAATAGACAGATATACTTAACTATCCTGGGAGCGTTCAAGCACTGTTTACCGATTGTGTTCAAAATGAGAATAATTATATTATTTTTATTAATTTTATTACTGATTATCATTGACTTACAATTATATGGACGTCGGGTCCGCGCTAAAAAGTGTCCGAACTTACAGGGCGTTAAAATCGTATACAGAGCGTCATTCACGCTGTAGTCTTCGTTTGTTCGACTGACAGCAAAGCAAGCAAAATTAAACAGTACTTCGATGACATTACAATTTAAATTCAACGTTTTAGCTTTTTCATATTCCTTTACATGTCACTACGTTTAAATAGGTTGACTTGGGACATTTTTTTCGTGGTTTTTGTATTAGACCCGTCGTCCATTTATTTGTAAGTCAATGCTGATTATATTATATTTTTTGCGTAGTTTTGTAAATATCGGCAACTTTTCAATCATACTTTACAATTTGCCGTACGATAAAATTACATGTCATGTCTAGTGATTATCATTAATATGAATAAGGTGAGTTTGTAATTTGATAACATATTTGGAAAACGTATCTTGTATTCGTACATTTTCATTGATTGCAATTGGCACTATTCAAAAAGTAATTTTACTATTTTCGCTAAGTGAATAAAATTATTAAAATGATTAAAATTCCATTCAACAATTGCAATAACATTCATGCCAATAATTTGTCCAAAGATTGGAAACTCGAGCTAAAACATTCAAAAAACGCTCAATAGTTAATTAATAGTATTTATTTATTGACAATTGGCTATATAGCCTAAAAAGACAACAAATAATTATGAAACTGGATGTGTAATAAAACTTAAACGAAATTTCTTAAACATGTAACAAATCTAAAAAGTTAGACACGGAGTAACTTCATTTGAATTGCTTATTTTAAAGGTGAACGGATTTCGAATGGGGAACGCAAACTGCATGGACTGTGAATTGTTTTAGTGAGGTCATAGTACGAATTTGACAGGCAATCCAACTTACAGGCTCAAATAGGATTGCTCTAAGAGCTCCTAGTGGGCCCCCTGATATTCAATTATTCTTGTGAAATTAAACCACCAGTTCGTTATAATTATAATACAAAGATTGAACACAGAAAAAATCCTTCGATCCGGTTGGAACCAACGTCTTCTAGCAAACCGTGTCAAACGCTGTACAACTAAGTCACGGATCGAACTAGCAGATCTTACGAGTTTGAATATGTGCTTGTTGCAGATCCTTGTTATTGTTTTGTATTTTTTGCGATAGTGTCACATAATTTTTTACCACGAGGCGAGCGATAAACTCTCTCCATCTAAATTGGCCTTAAAGGCGCGTTCAAATTAGCCGCTGTTAGAAGCGCTGCAGCCGCGCGGCGGCCTCGCGACTATCGCGCTGCTGAAGTGCGACCAAATTTTTAGTGATGTTTTTTTGTTTCGACTCAGTGGATTCTGACGAAGATACATTACTTTTACCTGGTTCTTGGGGCACACACTTCACATATAGATATTAAAAATGTTACCTACTATGTTTTTCAGTTGTAGTTTCAGTTTCAAAATTGTCAACAAATTTTAGATATTAATTTTCCCATGCCTTTTTTTATGCAGTCGATTGGAATAACTGGCGGAACTGCTGTTCCAAGGCAAGCTGCTGTGCAAGGTGTTGTTTTACATTCTCTGTAAATTCTTCAATTCGATTTTTATCCATCATGGTTAATTTGAAAAATTAACATGTACACCTCACTAACTGTGACTGCAACCGAGCGTGACGGCCGCGTGTCTGCAGCGCTGCTGCAGCGCGTCTAACAGCGGCTAATTTGAACGCGCCCTTATTTATCGTGTAATACAGGTAAATTTCAATAAGACTTACGTTATCTGCCGCATCTACTTGACATTCGTTCTCCAACAACAGCCTCACCAATTCCGTATGTCTGTGAACTGCAGCTAAATGTAGAGGGGTTCTTCCAGAGTTGTCTCTTGCTTCTTTACTGGCCCCACGCGATATCAGGAGTGTAGCAGTAACACAGTGCCCACCTTCACAGGCTACGTGTAGAGCTGTTCTGCCAACCTGTTGACATAATAGTTTGGATAATTGTTTATTTAGTTTTTATTTATTTCCAGAACTTAATCTATTATTACAGGTTATATACACAATTCAATAGACTAAAGTTGCTACTACATAATGTAACATAAGATCGATACCTCCACCTGTTCCTGGACCTGTTCTGTTTTGTATTTTGTGTCTTTTTTTCACAAAATCCGCTTTTTTTGTGCTTTTCTTTCGAATTTTTTTTTGAGCATAATGTTAGTAAATTAAAATCTCTATTTACACGTTATCAGTACAGAGTACTATAAAAACCACCTCAAAAGTCATTCACTCCCGTAGTTTGCCACCCTTAGAGGTGGAATATTTTCTTCAAATTTAAATGGGAGCACATCTGAGATACCCACCCTCTTTCCAACAAAAAAAGAATCATCAAATTCGGTTCACGTACCTGTGACGTTTATAGGTATCTTATTTAGAGAGAACGTCTGCTATTGTAGAAATTAAGTATACTAAGTAAAATAAAAAAAACTAGAAAATTTACAATGCGTATATTAAGATATAATATTAAGATATAATAATAAATATAAGTATATAGTAGTAAATAGATACAAAGCACTAGCTCTCAGGGTACTGAGTTCGCGTTCACTAAACGAGTTCCGTTACACTGTCTCCGTATTGGAAAACCACTTCCCTGACGTCCGGTAGCTCGATGCGGACGACAATTGGTGATCCAGTAGTCCTTTTACTTTTTTGGCAGTGTGCGCTTTAGCTCCAGGATAGATCACACTGTTGTAGTTTGTATGCCTGGACGTAGAACCCTGGAAATATCCGGAATTGGGAGTTTCAGAAAAAGTCCGAATCATTGTTACTGCCTGCTACATCCGGAAAAGTGAAGATGGACGCACTGCTAATTGAAATGGCTACCAAAGCATGAAATAGCGATCAATGATGTTGTTGCCTCACGCAAAATCAACTTAATTATTTAGTTAATAACATGCATTAGAAAAGGAAAATTACTTTTAATAACGACAGAAACTAGAAGGTACTTGAATACATTTTGATAGTAACTAAATGTTTCCAATATTTTAAAAACTAAATAGCATGATTAATATGAAATTAACAGCGTAAAGGACAATCAATTTTATTAAATTTAGTATAAGGGTAAGTCAGTGACAATTCTGAATAATTTATCATTTATGCGGATTTCTAGTTACAATGAATGCACTAAAAGCAAGACAATAACTAATATTAACATAGCATGAGCTTCAAATATTGTGTGGTAATTAAAATATTATAAATTAGCGTAATTCTACAAATTAAATTGCATCACTCACCCAATTGGGGATTTTACACTAATCACTGTATGTTGATTAAATATAATTACTTTTTTCTTTAAATAGAAGAAATTGGTTTCCAATTTACTATCAATTGGCACAGATGGGAAACCTTTGTAGAAATTTATAGATTTTTTTGAAAGATGTTAATCGGTCCCGCACACAGAACAAAATGCCGGCTCTGACCTTGCACTCTTGCAGCGGTCAACTCGTGTCCCCGTGACTAGTTTACGGACTCGTTTATGTTAATAAAAACACCTGACAAAAATATTGAAGCAAACAATTTGCATCTAGTTTACTTAGATAATTTTAGTTTATTATAAGGAGATTGTTTTATTTATTTTGTTAAGTTAGTACGTTTATGTAAATTAGGTTTATGTAAATTAAGCATTTAGTAAGTAGGTTGTATGTATAAATAGATAATTATTGTAAATAGATTATAAATGTAAATAGGTAAATTTATTAATTTGTTAATCCTATAAAGTAGTGTAACGACAACGTTACATACCTACATACAAAAAACCATACAGTCGAATTGAGAACCTCCTCCTTTTTTGAAGTCGGTTAAAAAATAACAGAAAATTACCAAAAAATAAAGTTGGCGTCATGTTCATTGGAGGTATCGCGATGTAAAGCGCCACCTCTGTGAATTCACTCAGAGAACAGTGGAACAGATCGATCCTATTCTATCCGATATTTCACTTAGTCCTCTCATGTGGCCTGCTCTGGTGGCCAACGAAATCGCCCCACTTACCTATTAGGACCACACAAGGCTTAGCATATTTATGCACTGCATCCGATTCGTATTCGTTGCTAATCTGAGACTACACAAATCTAAAAAATTCGGACTCACTTCGGATGTCGCTTGTGCACTAAGTCCGATTCAAAGCCGAGAAATTACGAATATCGCTTGTACACCTAGAGATAAAAATAATCCCTGTGACGTGACTGTGACATTTCGGACCGTCATTTCTCGGATTCAGAACGACACTATGTCCGACAGTGTATAAACGCCATAATATCTCTAATAGCATCGGCTCGTACACTGCTAACGCTAAGTTCCTGCGCAAGTGTACCTAATTCTATCACACCATATCCGATATGAAGAGATTAGAGGGTAGAGGGAATAAACACCGTATTGCCTCAAGTACAGACATCTTAGGAATTTATTTAGAATGCGTTCCAGGACAAACCTACACCGCATTTGATGTGCAGTCCAAACTACCGCATTATAATAAGATATGTTCTATCAAAATGGGATCATGGCTGTCCTTATGTTTGAAGCTGCGGCATGAGGGGGAACGTGTGCTAAGATTGAACTAGATTGTTCCACCAAGAGGTATTCCTTCTGCCACGCCTACGTTTTCCTTGTATTTTCCCCTGCATTATTCGTTGAAGAATCCGGTATCTATTGCCCTTTATGACGAATCCAAAATACGAAACGTAATACATGCTACCATCTAGCTATCTGATTGGATTGTGTTACGACATAGCTATGGACTAACATTTAAATCATACATTGACAGGCTAGCTAACATGAAAATTAAGTATATTAAAGGTCTTACGAATAAAAAACCGACCTTAGAAGTACGTGGAATTACATCTATTTTCCAAGTTTTATTGAAATCTATTACCGGAAAGTGCGCGAAACTGGAATCATTCCCTAGTTTGCCCCCCTTAGAGGTGAAATATTTTCTTCAAATTTAAATGGTACCACTAGCGAGGTAGTCGTTTTGAACAAATACAAGAATCATCAAAATCGGTTCACAAAGTTAACATTCATACAAAAAAAAAACATTTTTTCATTTCGAATTGAGAACTTTCTCCTTTTTTGTAGTTCGAAAACGAAGAATGAAGAAACGAAAAATTCCATTCCACGAAATATTATGTCAAATTTTGCTATTAGTTACACTATGTAACAAATTATCAAATAGGTTCTGTTTCTGATTTGACAGTATTGATTTCTGTTTAATTGGAACTGCTTTTGTGGCTGTCAGAGTGATATTTACATAGCCGCCTATTTACATAGCTATATACATAGCATAGTATTTAAATAACCTCGCAAATCTACACATTCCTTGGTTCTTTGTCGTGAATTTGTAGAATTTTGGTTGAAATATACAATTGATTTGAAATATAATGTACTCTTTTTAATATTTGTCTGTGTTTGTACTTGTAGATTAAGTAAGTTGTTGTGTCAAAGTCAAAGTCAAAGATTATTTATTCCATAGGTAAAATAAATTTACACTTGAAAACGTCACATTTAAGCTACTGCTCGTTCACTACGCTGACCTCCCTGAGAAGAACGAGCAAGAAACTCTAGGGATTGCTCTTTTCAAATAAACTTAAATGCTGTGGAATACACTTTGAATCAAATTTGTGTGGATTCTGGAGCCATGTCGTCTTTCCATACATCTTTATCTAACACGTAGTCTTCAATTTTGTAATATGATTTTTCGATCAAAATATTTTTAATGTAGTTTTTAAACTTAGGAAATGATAAACTTAATATATGCTCCGGAATCTTATTGTAAAAACGTATACAGTTCCCCATAAAAGAGTTGTTTACCTTGGTTAAACGAAATCGTGGTACCATGAGTTTGGACTTAGCTCTAAGGTTAATATTATGGATATCTTCTTCTTCTTTGTGTGGACGGCGGTTCATTAGGTGCAGCAGTTCGACCTTGATAGCGTCCTTATTCCGTCTGTAATAGTAGCGGATTTGTGGTGCAACTGTTGCACTTGATGTGCCGCTGACTGTTCGTTGACGCGCGCAGCTTACTTGCTGCAAACTTATAAAGTTGACCGTATTGTGCTGAGCCGAAACCTTTCCAGTACATTATTTTTTGTAACTTTCCTTTTCTTGTTATATGTAATACTCTTTTCTATGTAATGCTTTTTGTGTTCGATTGAAAAAGAAACCCGAAAATTTGTACTTTTCTTCAGTAGTAAAAAGCTAGTTTCAACTTTTCGTTGTTCTGGCCACAATGGCAAAGGTTTTGCAGGGAAATAAATTATTTTCATGTTTTTTAAATTAAGAAAAAACACCTTTTCATAGAAGCAGAGAAAGAAAACACTTGAAATTAATGAACGCGTTGACCCAAGGCCAGCTCTCAATTTAAAAAAAATGTGCTCTTACCTACTTTTTGTTCGTGTTATCCTCCAACATAAGCCCCGTGGGCGGAAGGACAAATTTCAATTCAATCGAATACGTTCTTTAATTCAACTAGGAAAGTTTTTTACTTACGGGCTCGTCTTTCATGTAATTCAGACATGTCACCCGTCCACTAACTGAAGTGCGGGTAAGTGACAAATGGTTAAATAACCGTTTTAAATTGCAAAAAATAGAGTCCAAAATTATCTTTTAAATTTTCTTTTTACTCTGTATCGCGGGTGCCATGGATATATACGTGTACATATAGACAACCACAAATTACACACAAACTCACGAGAGAAATATATGTAGGCCATACAAATATTTCAGCCCGGGGATCGAACCTGGAACCTCTACGTGACAGTCCGGCATGGTAACCGTTCGGCCACGGAGGCAGTTACCTTAACGATCCATAGCTAAAACATCATTAAACGATTTCAATAGTCTAAAATTGGGTTATGGTTTTTTACGATATCTCTAAAAAATATTGTGTCACTAAGCTGCATTTTAGTTTGAGGACGGCAGATGGACTT